CTTGAAAATATCTTCTGAAGTAAACAAGTTTTCCATAAAAGAACTTGGCTTGACCACCGATAGGTGGTTGTCATCGTAATCATTAAAGGGTCGGAATATAGAGATGTGTTAAATAAGTGGGGCTCGCTTGGTGGTTAGTGTCAAGYGGGGACTCWTTTCGCGCTGAACATATWTTTGGTATGTCRGGGTCGATTCTGGATAAGTTAAGGCTGAACCTGTTATATTATCCAGAGCGAGTTGCGCACGAGTCGAGGAACTAGAGCTCCTCTTCTTCAATGAGAAGTAGCTTGACTCCACATATGACGGTCAGCGCATACCTAAAATTTGTTGCGTCCAGAGTCTGGTCGRCGTACTGTGCAAGGTCGTCAATATAATCAGGCAAACATATCTTGATTTTTCTAGGAGGCGGCTCCGCTTCAAGTCTACGACCACAGGGATATTCTAACAGAAAGTATTYAGAGAGGAGTTCATTATGTTCCTTAATCGGAATCAATCGGACCGCAYTATATAATTGTTCAACCGACTACATGAAGAGACATTCTACAATCATTCAAAGTGCAGTATTCTGAGATATCTGAAGCTTTTCACTACACTCAGCGTATAGGTGAAGCGTAGTTTATCACTTGCCGGTCAATTGCCTTGTATGTTACTAAMAATGGTCCTATGAAGAGTAGAGGAGCACAGGTTGTCGCATGTAACATCAAAAATCGTAAGATTTTGACTGTCGGAGCTTTAAGACATCGACTGTGATATTAAGATMCAGTCTGWACTCCTTCGYCCAGTTWKTAAGTACGGWCGSTATGGATTTCGTAAGTGTGGATTAAGCTTCTTGCAGAGTTTAAGCGAGATAGATGGGAAGGATAACTGCTTATTTTCGAACAAATGCCCTCAACTCTCTCGTCTGCCGTCAATAACGCACAATTAGAAGAAAAAAGCGGTGTAGKAAATAATATTATAAGACGTTAATAAAGTAAAGAAGCTTCAACAACTTAAATTTTAAATTTCTTCCTTTTTCAACATACTCACATCAGTTAAAGTGCCACGTGAGATACGTACAAAGCTTGTAGCCTTCAACATTGCTGGCTTTTGAGCTCGTGCAGTCACTAACACCAGCATACGTTGATAATGGACATGTGAATGTACCCAATCGTGATTGTAAACGGCTCGAGATACGTTGTTACTCTATGAATAGAAAACATCATACTTCTACATCATACATCAAAATACTTCTCAAAGCTTCGGGACATAAGAGAGCTATTGAAGATATTGTAGGTATTACAAAAATCCTAAGTGCTGCAAATGTTTTCGAACCTCGAAACCTCCTCTACAAGTATATAAAATTCTCAAGAATAGTTGATAACAGTTTTTAAGGTCCAAATACATTTTTTTTTTTTTTTTTTTTTTTTGTTTTTGAAAATAATTTGGAAATATCCAGGTTTGTTAGACAAAGAATT